TGGCTCAAAAAATAAAAGACGGAGGCCTGGGTTTTCCAGGTATAGAGGGTATTTATCTTGCCAATGAATTTTTCCATATATATAGAACCCAATTGGATAGTGTAAAAAGGGAGGGATGGTATATTTTGGAAAGTGAGAGGTGTCAAGTAAGAGATTTGAGTTCAATTTTTTGGTATAGATATGCAGATCCGAAATTGCGTATTATTGGACATTCTAACTTATGTATAGACTCCATATTGGATATTTGGAAAGTAATAAGAAGAAAAGCTAATTTGGAGAACAATATTTCAACTAATCTTAAATTGGAACTACTTCCATACTATATTAAGGATTTAAACATTAGAAGCTGGGTCCAAAGAGGGATAACTCAAATAGAATATCTATACAAAAATGAAAAAATTTAAACCTTCTCACAATTAACGCAAGAATTCCAACTATCAAATAAGGAATTATTTACATATTTGAGAGTGAAAAACTATTTAACTCAAAATACTATAAGACACCCCCTAGTAGGAACTAAATTGATTTGTGCACTTCTTAATCACAAAAAGGTAGACAGGGTCTCTTCCAAGGCAATGAGTGCTATATTGAAATTGGAGGCTCCTCAGGTTATCATCGCAAAGCAAAAATGGGAGAAAGATCTAAATATTACAATAGATAAGGAAAAGTGGTGCGTAATAATGCCCTGAGCTTGTGAAACTATTCATTGTCTGAACATATTGGAAACCTTGTTTAAAGTCATCAACAGATGGTATCTCACGCCCACAAGAATGGCTAAAATGTATAGCTCAGGTTCACCAATATGTTGGAGATGTAAGAAGTACCTGGGTTCATTCTTGCATATTTGGTGGGAATGTGAGATTGTAGCAAAATTATGGTATGAAATATTCAATTACCTAGAGAGAATGCTTTGTGTGTCTATTCCAAAATTACCAGAAAATGTTTTATTACATCTTAACATTGACCCTCTTTTACAAAAAGATAAGGTAATTTATACTCATTTTATGATAGCGGCTAAGATGATTATAGCACGCAATTGGAAGAGTTCTTCCCTATTTGCCCTAGATAGGGTAATAATTCAAGTTAAGTTCCAACTTGGAATGGAAAGTCAGCTGGATAGGATACATGGAAGAGACCCAAAGAAGGTACATAATGCCTTTTGGTTGGGGAAAATGTAAAGAGAAGGTCAGGCAGATCCTGAGGGAACAGATGAGATAACCCCTATGAGGGAGTCTCATCCATATACCAAAAAACAAAAAACATTTGTGGAAAACTAAGAGTGAAATGAAGGGTCCCCCAGTACTCCCGACGGCATGGGAATAGTTATGTGTTTTATTGAGTAAAATATTGTAGTAAATAGAGGAGTCTTTAACATAAAGCAGATGACCAGAGAGGCCAAAACATGAAATACTCCTCTACAAATGTCTGAGAAATAAACAGAGTTAATCTTAGATAATGCTGCATTGTATTGTATGGTATTTACTGCTGTATACAAACTTATTTTAATAACATTTTTTTGAATGTCTGATGTTGTGATGTGACAAAAGAATAAATTACAAAAATAAATAAAAAAAAAGAAAATATGAATACCTTAAACATAATATAAAATTGTAGAAAGGGGTTCAACATATAAATAGAACATTTCCATATAAATTCTCCGCTTCACATATGATCACTGTGGATAAGGCTGTCCCATAGTGAGTTATTAAAACAGTTCAGTGTTAGGCTCCCTGCCTGTTTGCCTTCCACCGCGGCTTCGGCTGCCGCGGTCCCCGTTGGCATTCCTCTTGATGCTACACACTTGCGTGCAGTGTGTTTAAATATGTGCCCGAAGGAGAATTCAATCATGGTGCACAATGATGACGTCCAGGGTCAAGCAGGACGTTCAAATACCTTCCACGTGTTGTAGTTAATTCTAAATGGAGATTAACTATCAGAATTAGCTTATACATATTTAAGTTTACCTCTCCCATGCCTTGTTGCCCTGTTGTGGTATTTTGATAGCCCAATAGCGCGTTTGATTGCTCGTTACCGGCTTTGTCTCACGTTTATCCTGCTCTCTCTGATCCTTGACCTCGGCTTGTTCTATCGTTGTTCCGTATCCCTGTACTCCGCTGTAATCAGCGTTTATTCTGACTACTCTCTATTTTGCATAGTCCGGCCATTTTAAGGATTGGTATTGCAATTCATTGTGTTGTGATCTGTCTGTGTGTTTTGGATCCGGACACGTGACATTACAACAAGGCCACATGGAACCTACGGACATATTGCAACAGTAGGCTAATAAAGACTCCAAGAAGGATAGTCGACCATCGCATGGACCAGTTTCCCCAAGCATTGCAGACCATCTCATTACGTACTGGTCACTTGCAACCTGAGGCGCAAGACATTGCTGCTGCTCCACTCTGATAAATCATCTATAGGGTAGGGCCTTGGCATGGGTCAATCCCATTTGGGAATCTGATTCCTCTATCTCTTATGCTGAGTTCCTATCTGCCTTTAAGAGGACTTTTGATATGCCGGGTAGAGTTAGCTCTGCTGGTAAATCCCTGTTGAGGATAAAACAAGGATCCCGATCAGTGGTAGACTATGCCATCAAATTTTGTACCCTGGCAGCAGAAGTAGTGAGGAACAATGATTCATTGGTAACCACTTTTCAGGAGGGCATAGCTGGGTATCACTTGGATGAAATAAGGGAAAGGCGTACTCGTAGAGAGACTCCGAAGAGGTTATGCACTCATCCAATCCTTGCTCTGCTCTCCACGACCTTGCTTGCTCTACCTCCTCCTAGCCCTCCACCTGAACCATTGCAATTGGAGGCTACTAAATTAACAGAAGCCGCAAAATCATATAGAAGAAAGGAGGGTTTGTGCCTTTATTGTGGCAAAAAGGGACATATAAGAAAACATTGTCCTAGTCTTCAAGGAAACTCCAACACCTAAGGCCCAGTGAGGGGCAGGCCTTGGGTGTTATGACTTTATCCCCTTTTGCTAATACAAACAGACCAGTCATTAGAGTCACATTGCAGATTAATGGTAAAACCATCACCACCACAGCCTTAATTGATTCAGGTTCTGCGGATAATTTAATGGACCAGGAATTTTCCAACTCCGCTGCCTTGTCTCTGATTCAAAAGGCCACACCCTTGGCCGTTGAGGCCATAAATGGTAGACCCTTAAAAAAAAAAAAAACCCTGGTCACACACCAAACCCAGTAATTGTATATGTCTGTAGGAGTGCTACACAGAGAAAAAACATATTTTCAGATTTTACATTCCTCTTCTTGTTCTATTGTTTTGGGCTTCCCTTGGTTGGTTAAACACAACCCTATGATTGATTGGGTAAAGGCTGACATATTGTCTTGAGGAAAGGAATGCCATGAGAATTGTCTTAAACAAATACACCCTGTACCTTCTGTACTTCCACAGTATGCCGACCTCGCAGAGGTATTATAAAAAAGGGAGGCTGATAAATAACCTCCACATCGCAGATACAATTGTACAATAAAATTGTTACCAGGTACTATGCCTTCTAAGGGTAGGGTCTACCCACTCTCGGAGAAAGACAATAGGATTATGGAGGAGTATATACAAGACTCCTTAAGAAAAGGAATTATTCAAAGATCCTCATCCCCTGCTGGTCCAGGATTCTTTTTTGTCTCGAAAAAAGAGGGAGATTTGAGACCCTGTATAGATTATAGTGGTCTCAATAGAATCACGGTTCGTAATGCCCACCCCATTCCCCTCATTACTGAACTCTTTGATCACGTAAAAGGATCCAAGTATTTTACCAAGCTTGATCTTAGCGGTGCTTATAACCTGGTAAGAATAAAGAAAGGGAACGAGTGGAAAACTGCTTTCAACACTCGCAGCGGGCATTACGACTACCTGGTGATGCCTTTTGGGTTATGCAATGCCCCAGCGGTCTTTTAGGATCTGATTAATGATGTCCTCTGTGATTTCTTACATTCATGCGTTGTGGCTTATTTAGATGATGTAACGGAACTGCTGGCACCCCGACTGGGTACCTTCTGTTGACGTATGCTCCTAGTGCTTTCCGAGGGCTCCAAACACTCCATCAGCCACCATAACCACTGCAGACCCCACGAACCGCCACAGCTTGGTTGGGGTCTCTCCATCTCCACCCACTCTGGACCCAAAACCAGGGTACAGTTTCTAGTAGGTCGACCTCTCTTAAATCCAGAGAGCAGGAACAAGCTCTTACCAGAGCTTAGTGATTATACCCTGGGGAGTATAGAGCTCTGCTGTTGAAGGCGTGGACGGTATAATCCCTGTCTAAGGATGTAAATATAGCAGTGGTGATGGTGCAATCAGCAGTGATAATAGTCTTTAGTAGAGTGTGATATGAAAAGACATAGACGAGAACATCCAGTAGTGTAATATGTTCAGTACTATATGTATCTTCAAGAAAAGTAAAAGGTATCTCACTTACATTTTTCAGAGCATGAACCTGCTCTAGTATGATGGAGCTTTAGTGGTATGATCCCCACTTGGGCTATGCAGGTCCAGAATTGCAGTAAAATCCAGGAAATCAATGAAGTAAATACCAAATAAATAATAAAATTTCCAGGAATAAACTTTATTTAACAAATAAAAAGGTATATATAAAATATATATTTAAAATCCAAAAAGAGTAGAAGCACACTTAACACGTTTTACCATGGGGTTTCATCAGATGTATTTTACAGTGGACCTTCCTCCCTCTGTTTCAGACAGGTTTTCCAAAATGGCTCACTTTATTCCTTTGAAGAAACTCCCCTCTGCTGCTCAACTGGCCAATGTCTTTGCCAAAGAAGTATTCAGATTACATGGCTTGCCGGTTGATATAGTCTGAGACAGGGGCCCCCAGTTCATTTCCAGGTTCTGGAGGGGGTTTTTGTGCAGATTTGGGTATCACTCTTTCTTTTTCCTCCTCCTATCATCCACAGTCAAATGGTGCTGCTGAAAGGGCGAACCAATCCCTGGAACTCTACTTGCGCTGCTTTGCTAATGAGCACCAATACAATAGGTCTGGTCTTCTCCCACGGGCTGAGTTTGCCAGGAATACTGTTTGTCATTCCTCTACTGGCTTGAGCCCTTTTAAAATGGCTTATGGTATACAGCCTAGCGTCCTTCCTGGTGTATTCTCTGAAAAGGGTATACCTTGAATGCCCACCTTGCCATCTTAAGGGAGATGTGAGATCAGGTCTGTGGCTGCCACCCAGATAGGAAGAAGGGTTTCGCCGCCAGAGACGTTCTCCCCCTCCCTCTCCCCTCCCCCCAGAGAGAACTGCTTTAAAACAAACATCTAAATTAAATTATCTCTCAGGTACAGAACATGTACAATTGTTACACCCCAAAATACATACAATACAATCAGGTACCTCCACAAGTCCTATGGATAGCCTGGATCTGAGCGCTCAGTATATCCAAAAAAGTGCTCAGATTCCATGAACGCAGCCAAAACTCCACCGGGCTAAAGTTCTGACCGACCACACACGAGGCTCCTGCCCAGAATAGTTCCATAAGTGTGTGAAGGATGTAGTGTGTGTGTGTGTGGGGGGGGTGCATTGTGTCTGTGTGTTTGAAGGGATACAGTGTGTGCGTGGGGGGTACAGTGTGTGTGTATTGAGGGGGGCAGTGTGTTTGTGGGGGCAGAGAGTAATTGAGGGGTATAGTGTGTGCGTGAGGGGTATAGTGTGTGTGTGTGTATGGGGGCAGTGTGTGTGAGGGGTACAATGTGTGTGTGGGTGGCAGGGTGTGTATGTGTGTATGGAGGGCAGTGTGTGTGTGTACAGGGGGCAATGTGTATATGGTGTGAGGGTAGATTAATAAATATTTAATTATTTTTTATATTAAAAAAAAAAACTTTTCATATACCCCCTCCCTGCGTACCTTTGCCTGGGAGGGGGGGGGCAGTATGAATCCCTGGTGGTTCAGGAGTTCACTCTCGTGAGATTCGGGGCGTTGCCGTGGTAATGCTCCGAGCGGAGAACCCGGCGAACCTGCAGGTTAGAGCTCCCCCTGGGTCCTCTCTCCCTCTCCTGCTGACTGCAGCATTGTTGTACTAACAGGCGAGGGGAGAGGGAAGCATAGTTCCCAGTGCTATGATCCCATGATAATAGCACTGGGGAAATATTTTGCAGCGCCCCTGTGTGCCGTTGTGGCGCCCTGGCACACAGTTTCGGAACCGCTGGCTTAGATAACACTTTCTTAAGTAAGTAATTGTTGCTTGTTTTCATGTACACATGCGCAGTAGACGTATGCTATAATAAATATGCTAATGCTCTCCCAATTAAAGCTGAGAGGATATTGAGCTACAACGAAGTGAGTCTGTGGTTTTATTATCGGTTCTCCTGAGTGCTCAAACATCTAATTAGGAACCTCTGGTTATCTCTCGGATGTTCTTACCCATAATACATTTCTATATCACCACTGTTATATAAGATCAGTTAATGGCCACCCGGTATTATATAGGATCAGGTGATGGCCGCCCCGTATAATAAAGGATCAGGTAATGGGCGCCCGGTGTTATATAGGATCAGGTAATGGCCGCCCGGTGTTATATAGGATCAGGTAATGGCCGCCCGGTGTTATAGAGGATCAGGTAATGACCGCCCTGTGTTATATAGGATCAGGTGATGGCCGCCCCGTATAATAAAGGATCAGTTAATGGCCACCCGGTGTTATATAGGATCAGGTGATGGCCGCCCCGTATAATAAAGGATCAGGTAATGGCCGCCCGGTGTTATATAGGATCAGGTAATGGCCGCCCGGTGTTATAGAGGATCAGGTAATGGCCGCCCGGTGTTATAGAGGATCAGGTAATGGGCGCCCGGTGTTATATAGGATCAGGTAATGGGCGCCCGGTGTTATATAGGATCAGGTAATGGCCGCCCGGCGTTATAAAGGATCAGGTAATGGGCGCCCGGATCAGGTAATGGGCGCCCGGTGTTATAGAGGATCCGGATCAGGTAATGGCGCGGTGTTATAGAGGATCAGGTAATGGATGTTATATAGGATCAGGTAATGGCTATAGGATCAGGTAATGGCGCCGTTATAAAGGATCAGGTAATGGAAGCCCGGTGTTATAGAGGATCAGGTAATGGCCGCCCTGTGTTATATAGGATCAGGTGATGGCCGCCCGTATAATAAAGGATCAGTTAATGGCCACCCGGTGTTATATAGGATCAGGTGATGGCGCCCGTATAATAAAGGATCAGGTAATGGCGCCCGGTGTTATATAGGATCAGGTAATGGCTGCCCGGTGTTATATGGGATCAGGTAATGGCCGCCCGGTGTTATAGAGGATCAGGTAATGGCCGCCCGGTGTTATAGAGGATCAGGTAATGGGCGGTGTTATATAGGATCAGGTAATGGCGCCCGGTGTTATAGAGGATCAGGTAATGGGCGCCCGGTGTTATAGAGGATCAGGTAATGGCCGCCCGGTGTTATAGAGGATCAGGTAATGGGCGCCCGATGTTATATAGGATCAGGTAATGGGCGCCCTGTGTTATATAGGATCAGGTAATGGCCGCCCGGCGTTATAAAGGATCAGGTAATGGGCGCCCGGTGTTATATAGGATCAGGTAATGGCCGCCCGGTGTTATAGAGGATCAGGTAATGACCGCCCTGTGTTATATAGGATCAGGTAATGGCCGCCTGGTGTTATATAGGATCAGGTAATGGCTGCCCGGTGTTATATAGGATCAGGTAATGGCTGCCCGGTGTTATATAGGATCAGGTAATGGCCGCCCGGTGTTATATAGGATCAGGTAATGGCTGCCCGGTGTTATATAGGATCAGGTAATGGCCGCCCGGTGTTATAGAGGATCAGGTAATGGCCGCCCGGTGTTATATAGGATCAGGTAATGGCCGCCTGGTGTTATATAGGATCAGGTAATGGCCGCCCGGTGTTATATAGGATCAGGTAATGGCTGCCCGGTGTTATATAGGATCAGGTAATGGCCGCCCGATTATTTATAGAAGGGATCAGGTATTAGCCGCCCGGTGTTATAGAGGATCAGGTAATGGGGTGTTGTAGGATGCGGTGTAGGGCGCCGGTGCGGGGTCGGTGTCAGGCGCGACGGATCGGTGGCGCGGTGATGCCGGGGATAAGGTATTACGAGCGGGTGCAGAGGTCGGTAATGGCGCTTGATTATTTATAAAGGATCAGAGTGGCAGGCTGTTCGTATGGGATCTCCGAGCGGGTGCCGCAGTTCGGTGTGGCGCCGGTATATGAAGGAGGATCGGTGGCCAGCTGGGCACCATGGGATCATTGAAAGCGGCTGCAGACAAATTTGCCGCGGTTCGAATGTGGCGGGTGCTGCAGGTCAGGTAATGGCCGCCCGGTGTTATATAGGATCAGGTAATGGCTGCCCGGTGTTATATAGGATCAGGTAATGGCCTCCCGGTGTTATAGAGGATCAGGTAATGGCCGCCTGGTGTTATATAGGATCAGGTAATGGCTGCCCGGTGTTATATAGCAGGGGTTCCCAACCCAGTTCTTAAGTACCCCATAACAGTTCAGGATTTAGGGATTACCCAGTTGTGTCTTTGTTTAAAGAAAAAAACACTTTAGACACAACAGGGTAATCCCTAAATCCTGGACTGCTATACAGGATCAGGTAATGGCTGGCTGTTATTGGAAGGTAATGACAGCTGACTCCCCCGCAGCTCCCTAGGGCAGTATGATGAGGATTAATATGAGGTAAGGCTAGGGTTGTCCAGTGTGTTCAGATTCCGTCGATGGGTTCCCAGGGTTATCTGATAGTTGTCCTTTCTGTTTTGCTAAGCAAATCGTAACCCAGACGGCAACAATCCTGGGTAATCGCAATAACAGTGCCAGTGTCTGTACTGCTCACACTGCGGAACTCATCGCATGCAGACAGCTGGCCTTGTGTTTGGTGATGTATCGCTCCACCAGGGTGACATGCACTGTGTTATACCCGGCTGGTAACTGCCATGTTATCTGTGTTCCCGGAGTGCACTGATTGTTCCACCATTTATCAGCATTTCCCAGGGTAATGTTATGGTTGTCCCATGTACTGTGCTGTGCTTTGCCAGAGTGTTGTCCCTGTATTGTGTTTCCCAGGGTAATGTTATGGCTGTCCCTGTAGTGTGTTTCCCAGGGTAATGTTATGGTTGTCCCCTGTAGTGTGTTTCCCAGGGTAATGTTATGGTTGTCCCCTGTAGTGTGTTTCCCAGGGTTATATTATGGTTGTCCCCTGTATTGTGTTTCCCAGGGTAATGTTATGGTTGTCCCCTGTATTGTGTTTCCCAGGGTAATGTTATGGTTGTCCCCTGTATTGTGTTTCCCAGGGTAATGTTATGGTTGTCCCCTGTAGTGTGTTTCCCAGGGTAATGTTATGGTTGTCCCCTGTAGTGTGTTTCCCTGGGTAATGTTATGGCTGTCCCTGTATTGTGTTTCCCAGGGTAATGTTATGGCTGTCCCTGTATTGTGTTTCACAGGGTAATGTTATGGTTGTCCCCTGTATTGTGTTTCCCAGGGTAATGTTATGGTTGTCCCCTGTATTGTGTTTCCCTGGGTAATGTTATGGCTGTCCCTGTATTGTGTTTCCCAGGGTAATGGTATGGTTGTCCCCTGTAGTGTGTTTCCCAGGGTAATGTTATGGTTGTCCCCTGTATTGTGTTTCCCAGGGTAATGTTATGGTTGTTCCCTGTATTGTGTTTCCCAGGGTAATGTTATGGTTGTCCCCTATAGTGTGTTTCCCAGGGTAATGTTATGGTTGTCCCTGTATTGGGTTTCCCTGGGTAATGTTATGGTTGTCCCCTGTATTGTATTTCCCAGGGTAATTTTATGGTTGTCCCCTGTATTGTGTTTCCCAGGATAATGTTATGGTTGTCCCCTATAGTGTGTTTCCCAGGGTAATGTTATGGTTGTCCCCTGTATTGTGTTTCCCAGGGTAATATTATGGTTGTCCCCTGTAGTGTGTTTCCCAGGGTAATGTTATGGTTGTCCCCTGTAGTGTGTTTCCCAGGGTAATGTTATGGTTGTCCCTGTATTGGGTTTCCCGGGGTAGTTTTGTGGTTGCCCCTGTAGTGTGGTCTGTTCTCCCCGGGTAAGGTTATGGTTGTCCCCTGTATTGTGTTTCCCAGGGTAATATTATGGTTGTCCCCTGTAGTGTGTTTCCCAGGGTAATGTTATGGTTGTCCCCTGTAGTGTGTTTCCCAGGGTAATGTTATGGTTGTCCCCTGTAGTGTGTTTCCCAGGGTAATGTTATGGTTGTCCCTGTATTGGGTTTCCCGGGGTAGTTTTGTGGTTGCCCCTGTAGTGTGGTCTGTAATTGGTGACGTACCATGTGATATTATTTAGCGGTTCCCAGGGTAAGGCGATCGTTGTCCTCATACCACGTGACCTGCTCAGTATTCTCCCCTCTGGTAACTGTCAGTATGTTTCTGGATACAGAATGGTTCGAGATAATTTAGAACGTTCTCAGAAGGGAATTTTCCCTGTCTCCGCTTCTATGGCTGGATCTGTGTATATGTTGTCTCTGCATGCATGGCTGCTGCCTCTGTGTGATGTGTCTCTGCAGAGCGTTTGTGACCTCAGTTATTTATGGGATTCGTTAGAACTGTGCTGGAAACATGGCTTACTTGGAGAATGTTTCCATTGTGAATAGCTTGGCTTGAACTTTGCATTGCACTGGTGAATTCATGATCTTTCATCATTTATATATCATCAGTGCATACTGTATGCTGTATTTGACATCTGTTCAATATTGTGTTCAATTCTTGTCACCAAAGATACCTGACATTTGTATAATGATGCTGTTCAATGATGAATAGTGAAATACATGTTTATCCAGAAAAAAATTCCTAGATTCTGCAAATTGGCAAAATTAGTTTGGCTTTTTATTAATTATCTAGATTTTTTAGGGGAGAGCAAAAAAAAAAAAACTGATTACTGAGTGGGGACCCACCAAAGGCCAAGCATTTTGAGCTAAAATATTAGTAAAGTGCTGCACACAAGTATGTAAGGGGACTAGAGCACTATAGTGGTGGTACGCAATCTCCCCCATATCAATCACAGGTACAGCTCCATGGGCATCATTATTACTATTATTATTATTGATATAACGCCATCAAATTCCGCAGCGCTTTACAATGGGTGGACGAACAAACGTAGTTGTAACCAGACAAGTTGGACACACAGGAACAGAGGGGTTGAGGGCCCTGCTCAATGAGCTTACATGCTAGAGGGAGTGGGGTAAAATTACACAAAAAGGTAAGGATAGTATTAGACTAGTGACAGTTGACTATCTCCAAAAGCCTTGCTGTTCATCAGTCCACAGTAAGACAAATTGTCTATAAATGGAGAAAGTTCAGCACTGCTGCTACTCCCTAGGAGTGGCTGTCCTGTAAAGATGACTGCAAGAGCATAGCGCAGACTGCTCAATGAGGTGAAGAAGAATCCTAGAGTGTCAGCTAAAGACTTACAAAAGTCACTGGCAAATGCTAACATTCCTGTTAGCGAATCTACAATACGTAAAACACTAAACAAGCGGAGGATGAGAAGCTGTCAAACAGTGTCAAAAGCCGCAGACGGGTCAAGGAGAATTAGGATAGAGTAGTGACCACAAGATTTTGCAGCGAGTAGATCATTGGATTGGATTTTGGTCAGTGCCGTTTCCACAGAGTGCTTAGCGCGGAAACCAGACTGAAGCGGGTCTAGCAGAGAGTTGGACTCAAGGAAGTCTGTCAATCTTGCATACACAACTCTTTTAAAGGACCACTATAGTGCCAGGAAAACATACTCGTTTTCCTGGCACTATAGTGCCCTGAGGGTGCCCCCACCCTCAGGGTCCCCCTCCCGCCTGGATCTGGAAGGGGGAAAGGGGTAATAACTTACCTTTTTCCAGCGCTGGGCGGAGAGCTCTCCTCCTCCTCTCCGCCTCCGTTACGCCCCGCCGGCTGAATGCGCACGCGCGGCAAGAGCTGCGCGCGCATTCAGCCGGTCTCATAGGAAAGCATTTACAATGCTTTCTTATGGACGCTGGCGTGCTCTCACTGTGAAAATCACAGTGAGAAGCACGCAAGCGCCTCTAGTGGCTGTCAGTGAGACAGCCACTAGAGGATTAGGGGGAAGGCTTAACCCATTCATAATTATAGCAGTTTCTCTGAAACTGCTATAATTAAGAAAAAATGGGTTAAGCCTAGAAGGACCTGGCACCCAGACCACTTCATTAAGCTGAAGTGGTCTGGGTGCCTAGAGTGGTCCTTTAAGGATCTTGGATGCAAAAGGCAGTAGTGAGATAGGACGCTAGTTGGATGGGGAGTTAGGGTCAAGTTTGGGCTTCTTTAGAATTGAGGTTACAGTTGCATGTTTGAAGGGCGATGGAAATATACCAGAGGGGAGAGAGAGAGATTGAGAATTTTAGTGAGAGGTGGAGAAAGAGAAGAAGACAGAGTACGGATGAGATGCGAGGGACTTGGATCTAGGGAGCAGGTGGTGGGGCGGGAGGACTGCAGCATAATGTAATCATAATGTAGGATAAGATAAATTTATTGTAGCCAAAAGGATAAAGAAATAAGATACATGTCAGCCGTGAGGCCCTAATCGTGTATACAGAACTATGGTGAAGCAAACACTTAAATACCTAAGGAGACTAACAAATCAAAAAGACCTCCAAAACCGCTATCTCTACTTGAGTGGTGTCACACACCTGTGAAACAATACTGACATAGAAGCATAGAAACAAAAAAAACAAACAAAGTAGAAATAACAGGCCTAATGGAAGCTAAAGGGCAAAGGATGAGGACCAAGCACAAATCAAAAATAAAAATGTTATCACAATGTGTGGACAGCATCTGGGATTGAGAAGACTGAGGAGATGGTCATAATCATTATGAATGAACATCAATAAATAAACAAAATGGTGCAAACTAAAACAGAAAAATAGTGGTCTGGAATTGGGTTGCCAAGCTTTTGTGAGCAGTCCGTTCTCAGTATTCTTTTGCACCCTGTTTTTTTTTTGTTTGTTTTTAATCAAGAGTTTTTATCCACAATAAAAAAGACTGGTGGAGAGCTATTTTTGAGATATATTGCCAACAAACTCCCACTTCCTTTTCACATATTTTTTTTTTATGCTAAGACCTTCTTCTTTCAGTACCTCATGTCTACCAGCCCCGTTAAACATCCCACCCTCTAAAGCACAGCTACCTGAAGTGCTTTAGAGGTTTACATATTTTTCCCTCTTTTATACTTTGCAAAAGTTTGAATATCAAATTGTACCCTCAGAGTGGTCAGTGAAAGAGGGGTGCTCTTCCTGATTGTTTTGTGCTCTAGGGAAGCAGGGATTTCAATGCTTCTGCGTGAGCTCAGTGCGGCGATTGCCCCACATGTGCCCTTTCCCCAGTGCTTCTCGATGAGAAGTATTCAATTGGCAGGGAGATCATCTGTACTGATGATCTCCCAGTGGGTGGAGTAAAGCTGCAACGAATGACCCTCTCGGAGCTGCATTAGAGGCTAACTATTTAACTGTTAAAGATGGTGTAAAATGGGTCAAGGATATTCACGAACAATCCTTTCAGGGTTATTATAATACTGGAGTGCTTTAATTAGAGAATATTTTAGCCTTCTAGCCAAAGAAGCATCTTTTGCAACTGCTCCATAATTGTGGACTGAGAATCTGAAAATCTTTTGGTTTTTCACAATTACTACTATGAGCTTTAAAGGAACACTCCACAATGCAAATGACTAAAAAAAATTTTTTTTTTTTAAATCACTGTTTAGTAGAAATACCATGCATGTATTCATTGGTGGTAAACCTTAAAAGATATTGCAAAAGCTGCAGCTCTTATGATCTGCAGCCTCCTCCAATTTGGGTGCTCCTGCCACATCCTTTATCTCAGTGGAGCAAACAGAAGCCGGAAGCAAACCACTCTCTGGCTGTGATGTTTCATTATTTAATTATAAAAGTTTAGATTTTTCATACAAATCTGCACTTTTAGTAAGTGCTTTTAAATGGGATACTCCTCACACATAAAGCAAGTCAGCAAACTGATTTATGGCTGTGAAGTACTGTAGTCCTTTAGGGGAGATAAAATAAAAAAAAATAAAAACATCCACCATGCTGTTTACTTCCATCATGTACAAAAACTAAATTAGAGACAGACAGCTGTTTGTGAAGCCATGTGTAGTGTTTGTCATTTAGGAATTTCTGTAGCATAGTTGTCTGCCATTACAATGGCATATGATGAAGAACGTACCCATAACACAGGGCTTGACAAATTTGGTTGAAATCTAGGAGCTAGTGGGTTTTTTTTTTGTATTTTTTTTTTTTTACATAACTTTACTTTTTAAACAGCAAAAGTACAATTCTTAAAGGGACACAGCTTAGTGGTTCTACTGTCTGTAGCCTAGGCTTTTTAAATGTAAGCACTGCCTTTTCAGAGAAAAGGCAGTGTTTACATTGCTGCCTAGTTACATTTCTAGTAGCAGTCACTCAGACAGCCACTAAAGGGCTTCCTATCTCAGTGCTGCAGTGTGCAGCTCCTACATTCAGTGTCTTCACGAACTGCATGCAGGCTCTGCACATTCCACATAGAAATGTAATGATTCGATGCATCTCTTTGAGAAGATGCGGTTTGGTGCAGTATTTTGCCACACATGCGTAATAGGCTCCTAGTGGGGGCCAGCTGCGTCTCACAGAGTTGGAGAAAAAGTGAGTAAAAACACAATTCCCATGAGATCGGGGGTGGGAGAGTCACCTAAACACACACACACACAAAATGACAAACAAACACCCTGACAGACACACACATTCTCTAACAAGTTGTTTTTTGTTTTGTTTAAGTTTATATCCACACTGCCTCCCACATTATATGATAGATATTGTGCTTATAACTCCATGTCTATTTATTATTATGATATTTATATAGCGCCATCAAATTCCGCAGCGCTTTACAATGGGTGGATGAACAGATATGCAGATTTAATACCAACATACCCCCTTATTTCCTAGTGCCTAGATTTCGCCTGTGCACTAGTACAAAGTGTGTGGGGGTTACATGTTCACTATTTCCTGCCTGTATTTATGTATTGAAGTGGAATTTGAACATTTTAAATACAAAATAAACAGTTTGAGAATATTTTGATGAATGTTCATTAAACTTATTTACTTTCTAAGCACATAGGTAAATGAATTGCAAAACCTACCTCAACTATAGTCATAGTTTGTCCTTTGGGGATGCTGTGATCTCCCTCCTCTGTTCCACTGCACAGTTTAATGATGCCAGGGCTGAAATGACGTCATATTTCTGCTCCCGGCATCACTATAAACTGTGAGAGGGAGCAAAGCAGACAGATCACAGCTGCCTCTCTTGCAGTTAGACCTGCCTCCACTTTATCCATGCTGAACTACTTGTCTCAACTCTCCCCATGCCGGCCCGCCTCCACTCTCCCCATGCCAGCCTGCCCGCCTCCACTCACCCCATGACGACCATCTGCCTCAGAGGGGTCGAGCTGACAAAACCGAGGTACCAGGACACAATTCTTAGTCACCATGGCGACCTGGCACATGGGATTTGTCGAGCCCTGCGGCATAACATACTTTTTGCATCTTACCCAAACAGACCACTTGAGTTGCATATCTTAAGGCTTCATCACACATTCTCGTCCATCTTTGGATTCTTCTGCAGTGGATTTTGCTGGGAGTGTGACCATATCAGTGTTATAGTACTTGTGAGATATGTAAAAAAACATTATTACACCATTAATCTCTAATTTTCTTTCCTACTAGAACCTTTCCTCAGTATGGCAGATAGAAGCAAATTACATGCCCTGTTTGCTCTAGTCCCAGGGAAACAGCGATTTGGTATTTACCGATTCCTTCCTTTTTTCTTTGTACTTGGCGGTGCCATGGAATGGTTCATGATTAATGTTCGAATTGGCAAGGAGACATTTTGTAAGTAAAATACAAATAGCTATTGTCTGTTTTGAATACTGTAGAAAATGCTTCAGAGGCTGATCTAGCTCCTGTGTTCTCTGTTAATGTGGGCACCAAAGAAATTGCATTTTGACTGAAATTCTCAGATGGGTGTGCCTCCATAGACTTAGTGCACGGGGTGTTTGATTTTTCTTTTGTTCACTGAAATAAATACTTTATTGAAAGGACCACTAAAGTCACTCAGGCCACTTCATCTCAATGGAGTGGCCTGGGTGTAATATTCTTGTCCTTTTAAGTTTCTTAGAAACTGCAATGTTTATATTGCAGATTTAAATCCATCTCTAGTGGTTGTCATTCTGCCAGCTATTATAGGCTCTTCTTTGGCACTGATTGAGTTAAAAAAAAAAAAAAAAAGTCCTGCGCTCAAACTCCCATTATTCCTAGGCGGCAGCAACGACCATAGTACACATCAGCTCAAATACATACAGTAAAATCCAAAGAAAAAAGTTACCTGCACTCTTTCCCAAATCCCTATGTATATTTAAACAAATGGAGGTTTTTAGTTATCTCCAATGGCCTTGAGAGGATATGCCCACCTGCCACGTCAAGGCAGACCTCTTAGGTGGGTCCTAACTCTAACCATTCACCTTGCTTCCTTGAGCTTCTGGCAAAAATATCTCTAATGAGACAGAAAGGGGTATTTTTTATATACATCCCTACATGCTTATTAACCCTTGGACTTCTTTTTTTTGTATTCACTTTTGTATGACACAGCTAGGTTGCAATGCTGCTGCCCATCCCATGTGTTCCCTATTAAGGGTATATAAAAACACCCCTTATTGTCTCATTAGAGATATCTTTGCCAGAAGCTCAAGGAACTAAAAACCTCCATTTGTTTAAATATACATAGGGATTTGGAAAAGAGCGCAGGTAACCTTTTTTTTTTTTTTTTCTGGTTTTTACTGATTTGAGTAAAAGCATTGGGCTGGACCATTGCAGAGAAGGCCATGCCTCCTCCATAATGTTGCAGAGAGCAGAGAAATAAGCAGTGTCAAGGGAGTTTCTGTGCTGGAAAAAGTAAAATCATTTATTTTATATTAAAGTGGGGGGACTTATATAGGTAAGGACAGGAACAGTATAGTGTTAGGAATACGGGTTTGTATGCCTAACACTTTAGTATTCCTTTAATTCGAGGACCTGTCACACATGACCTCTTTAAGAAGCTAAATGTCTATATTGAATTAGACCATGAAGTGTATATTTTAGCCATGAAAAGTCAAGCAAGACATGGACCTGAAAATCTGTGTATCTTATTATCATCATCAAGTTGGATACTTTATTTTAAAGTAAATCTCTTTCATATGAGCTGTTAGTTGTGGAAACATCTAAAACCTGTGCCTCATTTATATGTGTCATAATTCTCATAAGATAAAAATGACAAAGCCTGTGCCATAGTTGATTGTCCAGTATGACAGCCAGGGCCTTTCTGGAACATAAAATTTTGCAATTATTTGCGCTGTATTCAAGCTTTGCCATAGGAAAGTGATCTGGGTGACTATGGTATCCCTTTAAGGGGTAAGTCTAAGGACTTTGCATTACTGCAAAGTTTTACTGAAAGTGGCTTAATGGGGCATTTTTAGCAACAAAACAACTAAATTTAGTCGCTTTAGTTTGTAGATCATGTCCGTGCAACCAGGGACACCATCTAACACACCTCAAGGTCTGGGTTCTCGGATGTCTGCCTCCAAGCCCACCCCCAAGTCCAGCCTCCAAATCCACCCACAAGGAAGCCGTGTTTGTAGAGTGGATACAGTGTGTATTTGTGTATTGGCTGCAATGTGTGTTAGTGCATGTGTAGTGGATGCACTGGGTGTATATTGTGTGTGTGTGTGTATATATATATATCTATCTCTCACACACACAACTTGTGTTTGAATGTAAGCATGTTTTTTTATATGGTCTATGTGTTTGAATGCAGGTGTGCATTTGTGTGTAGTGTATACACTTCCACACACACTGATATTCAAACACATACACTGACACATTTTGTCTGCTTTCACTTCACCGGCTGTCACTTCTTTCCAGCACTAGTTGCGGCTGACATTTTGAAAAGGGACCAGGTCACGATATTATATGGCCGCAGCACTGACTGGGCCCCTGAATATATTGGGCCCATTGGCTAGGCCACCTGATGGGCCCTATCAGCGCGCGGACCCTGGTGCCTTATCTCTTCAGACTGTGACACAGCTTCCCTACAAACCTCCTGAAATAGAAGTCTTAGTTTTAAGCTTCCCTTATTGCACAGAGTGTTAAATGTTGTTACCACTTAACTGTTAACAGAGGAGGAGATAACTTCTAAATTAACGTGCAGTAAGATTGTTTAAAAATTAAACTTTGTTTTTTTGTTTTTTTTAATGTTTCATGAGTCACAGCCAAAGGTGGTGTGGCTAAGGCTCTGTAAACAAAGTGCAGCCCTAGGCACAGCTTTTTTATTTAAATATTTAAATTCTACTTTGCTTTAAAGTCTTGCTTTTTTTTTTCATCAGATGATGTTTACAGAAGAAAACAATCAGAGCGACAGCATGAGTGGAAAGTAGCAGAGAATTTGATCGAAGAGACTCCAAAATAAAGAGACATATTGGATTTTCTGTTAACTGAAAAGCATATACTAGTAACGTGGAAAAATCTTAAAATTAGAATTTATTACATTAAAATACTTACTATATTTGTAAATGCTAGAGCTTTTTCGAAACCGAATGATAACAGAGGTGAATATGTAGATTTGTGCTGGTGCAGGTGCCTGTACGGGAATGTGAAGACAGTTATGTGGACAAGAGTTCATGTGTGTTTATATTGCGTAGAAATTCCACAAAGAGAACCTAAACATTTATTTTGGCATGGTCAGTAGACCAAAACACACAGGGTTATTCAATAAAGTGAGTATTCAATGTTAATTTCAAATTTAAAGGACAACTGTCACCTCAAAACTGTTTCTTAAAATAAACTTTTCATCAAGTTTTGAAAAGAAAATATAATTTTTTTTTTTCCTTCAACAAAGTAGATGTTAGGGATCTAGAACAGGGGTTCTCAACGTTAGTCCTCAGGACCCCCTACCAATCCAGGGTTTAGGGATTACCTGGGTGTGTCTAAGGTGTTTAGAAAAAGAAAAAAACAAACACCTTAGAGTCTAAGGTGTTTTTTTCCCTTTTTCTAAACACCTGAGACACACCCAGGTAATCCCCAAATCCTGGACTGGTAGGGGGTCCTGAGGACTGGGTTGAGAACCCCTGATCTTGAAGAAAAAATAGTGGTAAATTGGCGCTAATATTGGTGTAGGATAGTGCTGCTAAAAACCACTGTGAAATCAACCACTTAATTCCACACAATACATACAATGAAACAAGGCAAAAAATTGAGGTTTAGCGTGCTATATAGTAAATACAAGAGATATGTGCACAGTGTACAAAAAAGTGCAGTAGTTCGAATTTATACATACACTTTAAGTAGACTTTATCCAGAGGAAATTCTGTAAGACAAAATAGCTCACATAGGGCAATATAGTCTATGTGGTGACCACACTGTGACTAAGATATTATTACAGAAGTTGCATCCTACTCACATTTTCATGAGCCTGTATAGTAAACTGGCTCAACTAAATAAGCATAGGTAGGATGTAAAGGTGTACTTCCTCAGCTTATATAAAAGCACTGCAAACAAGGAATCTTCCTAGATAAAACACAACGCGTTTTGGCTGGACGCCTTCATCAGGTGTATATTGGTAGAGTCCTAGTGTCTCCTCTTTTATTCCAAAATTTTGCGCCACAAATTCATAATCAGCCCGCACACTTTAATCACGTCACTTCCTGTCCGGTGTGACGTGTACTTCCGGTTTCGGCCAGGTATCGCGCCATCTTAGTACACCCTGAGGGACCTCCTAGGGTGTACTAGCTTTCCAGACAGTGCTCTTCAGTCACACGGGTCCATGATTTCTTAACTATTAACAAGACGGCTCGGAAGTACTCCGGCGGCCATTTTTGATGGGGCAAATCAGAGTATGTAGTTAGGGCACGGAAACAGAAGAAAAGGCAGTATCAATACATACAAAAATATAAAGTGTGCATATATAACTATTTGATAAACACTATCAATGCATACATAAATACACATGTGCATATATTATTTTACACATACACCAAAACTAATAAGATTAAAAAACAGTAAGACATAATTGATACTAAACATGCAGTAAAAAAGGGTGATAAAAAAAAGTGAAATAAGAGAAGAAATAAAAAACCTATATTAGAAAGGAGATATTTTCTAAATGGCTAAAATTGATTGGTTTTTAAATATAGTTAAAAATCTCAAAATCTATATTCATGCCAACAGGAGATAGTGTCCTACTCAAAGATCCACCTCCTCTCAGTTTATTCAAGGTCTTAATAAAATCTCCTCCTCTCCATGTTTTTTTCACTTTTTCAATTCCTATAAAATGTAAACATTTTGAGTCACCATTATGGTATTGTTCAAAGTGGGCGGATACTGAATGATTTTGTATTATTTTCTTAATATTATGGATATGCTCGCCTATTCTTATTTTCATCAGGATCAGAATTTTTTCCACATTTCCTTAAAACTAGTAGCATGAAAACTTTTGAGAAAGCATGTGTTATAGATTTAAAACAAATTAAACCCCCAAATAAATTTCAACAAAATTTTACTGTAAAAAAAAGAAAGCATTAGAAGAATAGCTATTTTACAATCCTCTACACCAAGCATGTCAAACTCAAAAGATAACACGGACCAAATAAACAAGGTTTAAGTTTATGTGGGCTGCAAAAAAACATAGAAACATAGTTTTATTTCCAAAAGTACATTATAAAAAAAGTACCTAACTTACACTGGATGTCTTCATGCTCGTAGGGCTTCAAAATAAACAAAAGAGTGAAATTTTAAGGATAGGTGCATTTGCAGATAACCAATTGTATTTATTCATTTATAAAATATTTTACCAGGATGGATACATTGAGATTTCTCTCGTTTTCAAGTATGTCCTGGGTCCAAAAAAAATTTCATTGTTACTATATAATACAATATTACAAAAATACAAATACAAAAAAAGGTAGTGTATAATCTTGGGACACCTGACGACATTCAGGAGCAGCCAGCAGATAGTCTGCAAAAATGTCAAATAATGTAGCGCTACTCCTGGAACCAAATGTGAGCCTGCTTCGGCAGAGGCTAAAAGGAGGTACGGACATTCCAGCATGCCTGTAGGGAGTGCAACAAGTCTAGTGTGAAAACCTCTGGAAAACTCAGAGACCAGAAACTCCACCAGGTGAGGTGAGGTGAAGGTTGTGAGCGTAAATGAAAGGAAAGTGCGTCAATGTCTACCTCCGTCAGTCATTTCTTGGGGAAAAGCTTGAAGGCACACATCGATTTGGTGTGTGCCATGAAGCAGATCGAGCAGATGTGCTACAACCTGCAAGCATTGAAGTTACCTCTGATGAAGTGATTTAAGCAATCACGAAAAATTCACACTTCACTGACAAGGGCAAAAGGTGGAACACACAGCAGCTCATGGTGGAACGCATGCGGAGAAATTCCAGCGGCAAACACAGTATTCAGATCCCCTACCAGGCCCGGACTGGCCATCGGGCATACCGGGCAAATGCCCGGTGGGCCGCGATGGCCGTGGGGCCGAGGCCGGCAGGGAGATCCCAGGATCTCCCCTGCCAGCCCCTGCAGGGCCAGCGCTATCCGAGCGCCAGCCCTGCTATGTGAATCCATGGGCCGGTGGGGAGATCAAAGATCTCCCTCACCGGCCCACAGACAGTGAGATGCGGCCGCCGGCTGGGGAGAGAGGACCGGCGGAGCTCTAACCAGCAGCTCCGCCGGGTCCTCTCGCGAGATTCTGAGCGTTGCCGCGGTTACCGCGGCAACGCTCAGATCTCGTGAGAGTGAACTCTAACCCGCAAGTTAGAGTTCACTCTCACCACTGGACCACCAGGGAAGGCAGCATGGTCCCTCAAGGCTCCCCCTCCCAGGCAGAACGGCTCCCTCCCCCTCCCAGGCTAAAGGTAAGAAGGGGGGGGGGGAGCACAACTTGTTTTAAAATTATTCATAAAAATATATATATATATTTAAAATAAATTCCCTAACAGCCCCCTCACAAACAGGACCCCCAGACACACACACAGCACTCAGATACACACAGCACCCCAGATACACACAGCACTCAGATACACACAGCACCCAGATACACACACAGCCCCCAGATACACACACAGCCCCCCCAGACACACACAGCACCCCCAGACACCCACAGCCCCCTCACACACAGCACCCCCAGACACACACAGCACAGACACACACACACAGCACTGACACACAGCACCCCCAGACACACACAGCACCCCAGATACACACGGCGGGCACACACAGCACCCCCAGATACACACAGCACTTTACACACACACACAGCACCCCAGATACACACACAGCACCCAGACACACACAGCACCCCAGATACAGCACCCCCAGACACACACACATAGCACCCCCAGATACACACACACATATATATATATATAATATAATATAACCCTCAGTGAGTTAACAGACAAAGAAAATTAGAAACCTAGAATGTGACGGCAGATAAAAACACCCTCACACACAGCACCCCTCTTACACAAACACACTGCGCACCTCACACATACAATACGTCCAAATATATATATATATATATATATACACACTACAGCACCCCTCACACTGCACCACTACACACATTACGCTCCAAATACACGCTAGATCCCTTACCCTATATGCACTCATAATCCTCTACACACATACACACACACACACACAATCTTCTATACACACTCTGGGTCCTTTACACACTAGATCTCTTACACACACACACTGCACCACCTACACACACACACACTATATTCCTTGTAAGGAAAGACATACAACATTCTCTAAACACACCCTCTCTACCCCTACACACACTACGTCACCTATACACACACACTACTGCCCGTATGCACACACTCGCTACATCCCCTATAACACTATGCCCCTATACACGCATTCTCTACAGCCCCTAGCAACACATATTACACCTATTTACACAATACCACACCACACAATTTAAAAGGAAACACAGCGCAAGCATGTTATTAAATTTTCTTGCGCTGCGCAGAACAAATTCAGGGCCTTTTTCTAATGCCAGAGCTCTTCAGCGGGGCTCTGCGCATTGAACCAACATGCTCACTTTGAGAGGGGGCGTGCTTGTCATTAGTGATGACAAAACACACCCTCTCTGGCCCCGCCCCCTTCTTGGGGGGCCGCTCTAATTGAAAAATGCCCGGGCCTAATTTTTTTCCCAGTCCGGCCCTGTCCCCTACTCTCTCCCAGAGCCGGCAAAGAGGAAAGAGCAAAGGGACCTACAGACTGTTACTAATTTCCCACTAGGCAATGTGCTAACCATACCTGTGAATCATAATATCCTGACTTATAGCCTGCATTTCAATAACTGTTTAGTCTACAAACTTAACATATTCACTGTCGTTACTCTTGCCTAGACAGCTCACTATTGCTTAGCTAAGATTCCTACCACTGTCTATGATAACGTATCTGTGTTTGTGGAGTTTAACTACCTTGCTCTTGGTTTATTTCTTTTGCTTTATTCTGAAAAAAAAATGTCATACACTGAAGTTGATGTACCATTGCATTCGTATATGTCATGTGCCTACTTTCTAACACTTATTTCTCTTCTGTAACGTACCATTATTGCCTCAATAAAAGAAAGAATGACAAAAAAGTGTAGCTAGAGCATCCATTCCACTACACTTACCAAAAAACAAAACAAAAAAACAATATACTCCACTAGCAGATAGCATAAAGGGAGAGGGGAGCAATGTAATGTAAGGTTAGCCAAAAAGAGAACCCTAACTTTTATGAAATAATAATTCATTAAAAAAAATAGACGAAGAGATAAGCACAAGAGTAATTAAAACACAGTGTCTATGGGGTAGAGGGGGGGAGGTGGTAAAGGGAAAGCTATAAAAGCTACTGAATAGGGTGCCACCTTCTAAGGTCCACCCCTGGATAGGTGTAGCAATGTGTGGGTAGCACAGAGACTGTGCATGTACTGACTTTGGCTTCAGACTACGATAATGAAAGAACAGGATGGATAACATGTTTATGAACAAGACGTTTCATCATCAGAATAGACAGATATTTTGCACATAGGTGCTGGATACATACATCTTTGCTTCAGGCTCAGGGGATGCAAAAACAAGCAAGATAATAGGTTCAGTGCCAATAGAGGCTTCCTCATCTGATAGGACAAGTATGACTTCAGAGAAAGGTTGAGCAGAGTTGCTGGGTATGCCCCTCTTGGCTTCAAGCTCAGGGAATGTAGGTATGATTTCAGCATATCACGGCTGTATCAGGAATGAAAGGATAGGTAGAACAACATCCTCAGGAACAAGAGAAGTTTCCTCATCTGAAAGGGCAGGTATAACCTCAGAGATAGTTTCCACAGAGTAATTGGTTATGTCTCTCTTGGCTTCAGGCAATGTAGGTATGAATTCAGCATACCACAGCTGTATCAGAAATGCAAGGATAGGTAGGACAGCATCTTCATTAACCGGTATGTTTACAGCCATTGTCCTAGCCACTGGTTCTGGAGTAATTTAATTTATCAAAGGTGATGGATCATGGAAGTTTGCCATCTCGGCAGGGGACACCACATTGTGCACTCTTACAACCTCAAGGGAAGGAGCAAAACTATGTATGGGAATCCTTTCAGCTGGTGGCAACATAGTCAAGGCAGGAGCATAAACAGCATCTTTAAATGATGGAGCAGTCTTGGGTCGAATTCCAGTTATTATCTTAGTAGTCCCATGGGGTACAAACTGTGGCTGTGTTTCAGGGACAGTTACAGCCACAGATTCACACAGCAGGGGCTTCAACATGTCCTTGGCTTGAGCAAAAGGTAGCACAGTTTCTCCTACAGAAGGAAAAGAGAAAAGAGAACACTACCAAGGGAATGTGTATATTTTAAAAAAAATTAACTTTTAATGGTGAACGCAGTATAAAGTGATCATTTCACATATATAATCATAGTCAGTCTAGATATGTACATACCAAGACACGAAAAGATAATATGAAAAAATGTAAGATTTTAAAACCAAAAGACAGTATCTAAATGTCAGGGATATGGATAACGATGTTATATAAATAAATAGAAACTGTCTGCTATGATTATACTATTGCAATGTATCTACGATGTTTTGTTACAGTTAATGAGACTTTGCAAATAGTAAGTAAAACGTTTTGCTGCTGTGATTTACAAGGAATACTTCCAATGTGTCCAGAGTGTTCTTAGTTAAAGGACCACTCCAGGCACCCAGACCACTTCAGCTTAATGAAGTGGTCTGGGTGCCAGGTCCTTCTAGGGTTAACCCATTTTTTCATAATTATAGCAGTTTCAGAGAAACTGCTATAATTATGAATGGGTTAAGCAACTTCTAATCCTCTAGTGGCTGTCTCATTTGACAGCCACTTTAGAAGCGCTTTGCGATGCTTCTCACTGTGAAAATCACGGTGAGAACGCGCTCGCGATCCAACAAGAGCTTTATTATGAAATACTTTCCTATAAACAGCGAAGATCTGCTTAGCGCAGCTAACGCATGTCTTGCGCATTCAGCAATGAGGCGTAGCGAGGAGGAGGATGGCGGAGGAGGAAGCTCTCAGCCCAGCGCTGGAAAAAAGGTAGTTTTACCCCTTTCCCCCTTCCAGAGCAGGCGGGAGGAGACCCTGAGGTGAGGCACCCTCAGGGCACTACCTGAATTACCAGGAAAACAGTATATTTTCCTGGCACTATAATGTCCCTTTGCAAAAGTATTGCAAAAGGAAAAGAAAAATACGTCTGCTGTAATGATACTGTTGCAATATATCTAAAGTATTTTGTTACAGTAAATCAGACTTTACAAATAAGAAATACAAATACAAATAACTAAAGAATACTTCCAATGTGTCCCAAGTATTCTTAATCAAGCTTAGCAAAATGGAATAAAAAACGTCTGCTACTGTAAGCTGTAATCAAAACGAACGAAAGTTAGACGCTCTAGTAATATGATAACATGAGCAGAGCCGTCTAATTTGGCTATTGGACTGCAGTTAGTTATTCTTAAATGTAATATAAAGATATCTAGGAGGACAACTTCTAAAAGTAATCCGTACTGTAAAGACCCCAAAAGTGGATATAGTTGGAAAATAGAAGTATATCTGTGCCTTCGTGGGCACCTATCAGACAGAGAAGCTAACTGCAAGTAATTGAAAAAAAGGAGAGAGAGAGAAGACAGAAATTGTCTATAATAAATAACTGTGCCTTCGAGGGCACCTCTCTAAAGAGTATACCAAATAATCAGACTGGCTAGCTAGCGTCTAGATAGCAGAATCCAAAATGGTATCCTGTGATATCTTTGTTAAGTGTCGGTATACTACGAGCGTTATAGCCATAAATGGTATAAGCGGCTAAATCATAAGTTCACCTCCCAATGCACCTAATGTCTAGAGAATTCTTAATCAAGATATAGGCTTTTAAATAAGAAGTCATCTCTGCAGATGCAGGGTATTAAGGTGTTTAGGAGAGATCGAAGAAAAAACCCCGACGCGCGTTTCGCCGGTAAGGCGGCTTTTCAAGGGGAACCTGTTCATAGCCGGTTATGCTTTTTAAATAGGGCGCCCAGAGGTTTGATTGGAGTTCCAAAGTTGGTAACGTCATCAGGTCTGACTGACGTAAGACGGTGGTCGGGAAAGACCATTTAATTTTATTCAATGTTAAATTATATGTTTATGTATCTCTATTAAGAGTGGGAGATAGAAGGTATACAATGAATGATAAAGATTTATTGCAATTATGAATAATAAAAGGACATATCGCAATTATTCTGTTTGTGCCTTATTCATCTAAAAAATATGTTCTTTGTGTGAAATAACATAGTGCAACCGTATGTATATATTCTTATTTACTATTATTTGTTAAGCAAAATGCCATACACAGAGCTATTCATTCTGCCCCTCACTACATGAGACGGCAATGCATATATATGTATTAAATTAAGTAGAGCGGCTATATTATACTTTATACATGGTTCATGTATAGTTATGAGAAGAAATATGTGTCTTAAAAGTATAGAAGTGCACATTAATAAATATATGATGGGTATGATGCCTCCAGATCTCCCATTTAGTTTTGTGTAAACGGAACAGGAAAATGTCCTGGGAATGTAATATACCGAACAGGTACTGTTTGGAGATACACCAGGGGGCGCTAAAGATGATTATTATCTATATATTATCTTGTAGTTTGAAATAATAGATAGTTGGTAATGTGAAGGAAGTCACAAGATCAATATAAATTAGCAATCTAAGAAGTCATTGTATATATATATAATTAGATCTAATGAAACAAAAGTGCCAAAACAAAGATTGATAGGGACAATTATTGTCATGTCTTGAAATCTGAGTTGAAAGAATGTAAATTTAGTGTATGAATGGTGTGTAGTTGAATTCCTCATTAAGTCCCTGTGGTGTGAGGGTCTTAAATGAGTATATCCATTTAGATTCTTTTTGCAATAGTTGTTGATTAAAATTGCCTTTTCTAGGGTTAAATGTCAATTTCTCAATGGCCTGAAACCTCAAGTTGTCAACGTTGCCATGATGGAAATTCATAATATGTCTTGCTACGGGTGTAGGGGTTATGGTGTTTTTTATCGAATTGATGTGTAGAATAATCCTTCGACGAAAGGGTTGAATTGTCTTTCCGATATATTGGATGCCACATTTGCATGTGATCAAATATACTAGCCGAGTGGTGCTGCAATTGATCAAAGCGTTGGTTTTGATAGTAATTTTGGATTGAGTAGACGTTGTTGATTGGGAAGGAGTTATGAACTGGCAAGCTTTGCAATGGCCACATCTATAGGTTCCCTTAGTGCTTGTAAGCCAATTAGGTTCTGCTGGAGTAGGGGCCAAAAAACTATGAACCAGAAGATCTTTAAGATTCTTAGATCTTCGAGCGGTAATAGATGGATAGCTAGGTAATACTTTCTTCAATGTGGGATTGTGTAGAAGAATAGGCCAGTGGTCGGAAAACGTCTCTGTTATTTTTTGCCAGCCACTGTCAAAAGTGGCAATACATCTTGGGATCGATGAGCTTGATTTTGGACGTATAGTCTTTAGGCTCTCCAGTCTGTTTGTTTTACTCGCACGTTGATATGCTTTCTTAAGGACTTTGTTAGGATATCCCAAAGCTTTGAAACGGAGTTTCAAGGATTGGCATTCTTGATAATATACTGAATCCTCAGAACAGTTCCTCCTTGCCCTCAACTTTTTGCCCTCAACTTTTTTAGGACAGGATCCCCCTCGAGAACAGAGGGGGCACCTGAGAGACAGGGATCGCTGGGCTTACAAGAAACAAGGACGGGGTCAGAAGTTTTAATATCTAATAAAATCATTAATCTGTCTAACTTCCCACTACAACCACGCCACATTTCCCTTCTAAATAAAGGTCTTACATATGTACCCACTCCTGGGTACAACAAGTTTGATTGGACAAAAGATATAAACCTATTTGGCAGGAAACTAGCATTAAATCTTATGCATTCCAAAAGGGATCTACTGATGGCAAATGACCTGGGACTGAGTTTGGAGGACTTCGAGTTCTCTAAAACATTGACAGAACTACTTGATGAACAGAACCCCTCCAAATCTCTCACGAAACTAAAACCTCAGAGTTGGTTTACCCCCAACCTGAAAGACACCCCACACGTGGATCTTTTCGTTGAAATGACCACCAGCGACCTGACAAAAATGCACCTTGAACGTCCAGCAAACAACAACCTGACTACCAATGAACGAAAAGCTCTCAAAGTACTAAAATCATTAGACAATGTTATCATAAAACCAGCTGACAAAGGTGGTAACATTGTCTTACTAAATCGAGACATGTACGTTGATATGTGCATGGCACATCTTAGTGATGCATCTAATTACAGTGTCCTTCCTTCTGATCCTACGGAGACGTACATAAAAGAGTTTGAAGCCTTACTCATCACAGCTTTGGAACAAAAAATCTATATTGCTTGCCAAAAGTGCATAAAAGCATTATTACCCCTCCTGGGAGACCAATTGTTTCAGGCAATAACTGCCTGACTGAGAGAGCTAGCAAATTCATTAATGAAATTTTATACCCATACGTCACAGCTTTTCCCTCCTACATACAGGACACGAAGTCTACTCTATTGATCTTAGAAGGGCTTCAAGTACCACCATATACTCTATTAGCAAGCCTAGACGTTGTATCCTTGTACAGTAACATCCCGCATGAAGCAGGCATACAAGCATGTCGTTCATTTTTAGAAACAGCTTCATATGAGGAGGCACAGATTTCATTCATCATGTCCCTATTAGAATTTATTCTGACGCACAACTATCTAATATTTAATGGCAAATACTATTTGCAAGAGACCGGGAACGCGATGGGTACAACTTGTGCCCCCACGTATGCAAATCTCTTTTTAGGATGGTGGGAGGACAGAATGTGGAAAGATCCTAAATATAGTCTGTACCACAAGTACATCTTTAAGTGGTACAGATACATCGATGACATGTTAATATTCTGGACCGGTCCGGTACAAACCACAGCAGCAAAACGTTTTACTTACTATTTGCAAAGTCTCATTAACTGTAACAAAACATCGTAGATACATTGCAATAGTATAATCATAGCAGACAGTTTCTATTTATTTATACAACATCATTATCCATATCCCTGACATTTAGATACGGTCTTTTGGTTTTAAAATCTTACATTTTTTCATATTATCTTTTCGTGTCTTGGTATGTACATATCTAGACTGACTATGATTATATATGTGAAATGATCACTTTATACTGCGTTCACCATTAAGAGTTAAATTTTTTAAAATATACACATTCCCTTGGTAGTGTTCTCTTTTCTCTTTTCCTAACTATATTTACATTTAGGGTTAACCCCTTCACTACCTTGTCACTTTATTTCCATACTAGGCTTTCATTTTGCAAAATCTCCTACAGAAGGATCCACTTCTAAGGCTGCCAATGTGGACACATTTTTGTTGAGGCAGGCAAATAGGTTGAGCCCATTTCCAGAGTAGGAAGGGGGGCATTATAGGGTCATTAGGTCCCCCCCACCAGCAGGAGGTCAGCACAATAGGGTCATTAGGTTTCCCCCACCCTCAGGGCTCCCTCCCGCTGGGCTGAAGGGGTTAAAACCCCTTGAGCCACTTACCTTTCTCCAGCGCCGGGCTCCCTTGGCCCTGGTGACCTCTCCTCCCCCTGCTGACATCAGATCCGACTGTGCATGCGTGCATTCAAATGCATGCATTGAACTACTAATCCCTCTGCCCCGATTTATATCCAGGTAATTAAAATTTCCAATTATTAACGTGTTGCCCAGATTTGCAGCTTCCTCAATTTTCTCAAACAGCTGCTGTTGCTCATCAATATTAAAATTAGGTGATTTATAACATATCCCAACCAATAATTGTTTTCCTTTCTTTTTCCCCAAGCAGATATTTACTCATAAAGCTTCCACAACTTTGAAGAGAGAGCATTTCTCCCTAAAAGCAGATTATCGATCAGCAGGTCAAGATGCATTTTCCCTTCCTTGGGACTTCGATCTGGGGTATGCATTCCCTCCCCTACCTATGAGTCACAGATTGTTGAGGAATGTGACGAGAGCAATTTCGCCACATTGCATTGGAGAAGCCTAGCTGCCCGTCTGCTGCCTTTGGACTATGGACCAGACTTTATGTAAATGTGTTAACCCAGATAGCTATGCCATGGAGCCCATTCGTGTAGTTAAAGACTTCGGCTCCATGGCAATTGAACTGTGTGAATAGGATCTGAGCGCTATTCGGTAGTTTTGTGCGCTCAGATCCCAGCTATCTGGGGATATGTGAAATGTCTGTGTGTTATATGTAAAAGGTGACTTTATGTATTTTAAAGTGTCTTATGTCTTTTTGCAACCATGTGCTCAATGGAGTCTGCCTCTATCCCTGGATAATTGGATTATTTTCCCCATTGTCTCCAGGCTAGAGGTCTCTGTAAAACCTGTTTGAGCCAGATAGCCATGTGCCAGCCAGGGCTCAAAATATACTTTTACTAACTTTTGAACCCCTGGTATGATTCATGCCATTTTTTAATATGTTGTTCCCCTGAATGGATTAATTGTGAATATGTAATTTTATGTGAATGTGATGTATGGTTTTAGAGTTATGAAAGTTGGGTAGAAAGTATGTTTTAACTGTATGTGTAATTGAGTTTCCTCTCAAGATAAGGGGAGGGAATATGTGGGATGTAACTGATATGTGATTGGTTGTTTTATACCTCCCTGTGGGCGATCCTCTATTTGAAAAGACTGTAATAAAAACCAGGCTGGGTGTGCCAGCACCTCAGACCACTGCTTGACTCTCAACACGGAGCCTTGTCTCGTTCTTGGGTGGATTCACTGTATGCTGTTAGAGACTGATTGCCAGGAGTGTAAGCTGATTGTCTGCTTTTCCTATTCGTCTGCTAGCAGCTATTTGGGAGGTTCCAGTTCGGGAGTTGGAGTGCTATTTTGTATCCAGTTCGGGAGTTTGGTGTTCTGCAGTAGCTGTGCCTGTATCTCTGGAAAGGGGGCCGATCGCCTAAACGGTTTTTACTCCTTGTGTGCAAAACGGTCCGTTACAAGGAAAATTCGAAAAGAACGGAAGATGGTGATTGCTATAATTCCAAATTGGCCAAGAAGGCCCTGGTTCCCATTCCTAAACAAAATGTGCCTCTAGGTCTTCCATGGCCTCTTCCTCAGAGAGCAGATTTGCTAATACAAGGTCCAGCTATTCATCCCAATCCACACCAATTGAAACTGGAGGCTTGGCTCTTGAAAAACAGACACTTTTAGAGCAAGGATTACCATAGCCTGTGGTGGATACACTGTTAAAATCCAGGAAAAGTTCCACCTCCGCATGTTACCACAGAATATGGGATATTTTTCGCTTATGGACAGAACAGAAGTTCAAGAATTTCCTACAGCCTTAAAATATAGATATTCTGAAATTTTTACATGAAGGACTAGAAAAAGGCCTAAGCTTAAGCGCTTTAAAAGTGCAGTCGTTAGCCTTGTCAGCTCTGTGTAACACCTCCTGGGCTTCTGACCCAATTATTGCAAGGTTTTTTAAGGCAGCAATATGCATAGGACCTCTGTCCAGAAATTACGCTCCTCCTTGGGATCTTCCCTTGGTACTGGATGTCCTGTCAGACACCACCTTTGCTCCGTTGGATGAGTTGGGTATTGTTAATCTGATGTACGGTACAAGACCTTGTTTTTGGTAGCAATCACTACGGCTAAAAGAATGACGAAATTCAAGCCTTCTCCAGTGATACAAATCACGTTCAGGTCTTTAACAATAGGATTATCTTAAGACCTAGAATGGAATTCTAACCTAAGGTGGTTTCTAGTTTCCACTTGGCACAGGAAGTGGTTCTGCCTGCCTTTTACCCAAATCCTTCATCATCGGAAGAAGTTAAACTCCACCAATTGGATGTGAAGGAATGTGTAAATAAATATATAGCGGTCACTAATCAATTTCGAAAATCACAGCACCTATTTCTTATCCCTTCTGGCAATAGAAAGGGAGAGGCGGCTTCTACCGCTACTTTGAGGCGTTGGGTTGCAAACACCATAAAAATGGCCTACGGAGTTAAGAATCTATCTCCTCCTGGAAAAGATAAAAACCCATTCTACTCGAGCATTGGCTACCTCCTGGGCTAACTGGGCAGAGGTTTCTCCTGACGACATATGCAAGGCAGCCACCTGGTCGTCTCCTAAAACTTTCATCAGACGTTACAAGCTGGATGTGGCTTCTTCCTCCTCATCCTTTGGGAGAGGTATTTTGTCCTCAGTTCAATCCCATGAATAAATCTCTTTTGCAGCAGACTGGTGAGTTTTGTTTTATTACACCCTCCCTTTGTTGCTGAGCTTGGGTATTGAATGGCCAGGAATACAGAAAATTTTCTCCATACTTACCGAAATTTTCTTTTCCTGGCAATAATTCATGGCAGCATCAGCAACCCTACCATATTTTTTATTTTTAAGCTTTGTACTGGACTGTGGGTTAGAAGGAGGAGGGACCTTTTATGCCTACAGTCTGGTTATAATTAATTGTTTCCTGTCCTGTTCCTGTTGGGGGCGGAGCTAACCCATAAGTGATGCTGCCATGAATTATTGCCAGGAAAAGAAAATTACGGTAAGTATGGAAAACATTTTCTGTATTACATTACAGTCTAGGGATACCTCCACTGGCCACTCCTCAGATGGCTACTAAAGGTGCTTCCTGGGGCAGTGCTGCACAGTGTGACTGACATTCAGTGTCTCCACCCACTACATGGAGACACTTAACTTTCATCATAGAGATGCATTGATTCAATGCATCTCTATGAGGAGATGCTGATTGGCCAGAGTTGTGTTTGGCTAGTGCTGGCTCTGTACCTGATCTGTCTCCTTGACAGTCTCAGTCAATCCAATGCTTTCCTATGGGAAAGCATTGTGATTGGCTTTGAATAACACTTCTGTTGATGTCAGCCAAGCAGACAGATCAAGGGCAGAGTGAAAAAGGGGGGTGCAGGGAAGTAGCGCTTGTGGTGATGTTCTCAAGTCCAGAGTGATATAGGGAATAAAATCATCAGAAACATAACAGAGTGTAGCATATTTAGAAGTCTTTGGTGGTTATTAATGAAATTAAATGCACTTACACTTTTCTGGAGCTTATGATCAGCTCCAGATTTATGCACCTGGACGGTATGACGGTATGTTGTTTTAGTATTCTTTTATTGTGTGACAATCAGTCAGATATTCTCAGTATATAGGGAGGAGAATAAAAACAGAATATAGTGCTCTCTGTATGTAGATCAAATATAGAGCCAGCAGAAGCAGACTGGAGTAAAGGTAAGATTTTTACTATATTTAAAGGAGCAAGCAGGGCCAGAGGGGCTAGATGGTGTTTTTAACACTATAGGGTCAGGAATCAATTTGTGTTCTTGACCCTTTAGTGTTCCTTTAAAGCAAAAATAGGTATTCTCAGTCACACACAGCGAAACAGAAGAATGTCAAACATTATATAGTTATACAATGTGGAAATCGTTACAAACGTCAACGTATTGTTGCATTCCCTGTCAGTTGAATGCACTCAACATTTGTTGTCATACATTATTGTTGTATACGAACTCTTTGTCAAAGTGACTGTTTAAAAGGAGCAGTCAAGCAGACAAGCAAAGCAAAAATAAGAAGGGAGAGCAGAAATAAAAGAGGGATAGAATACAGAAGATTCAAGAACTGGTGAGATGGTAGTTATTACAAGGGCACTCATGCCCAAGTGGTTGCAAGGAGAACCGGATGGTTGTAGTTGGGTTCACCTGTGAATGACCCCTTCTGAGTCAGGTTTGGGAATGCAGCCTGAAGTAGGTGGTAAACTCTGTCTAAGGCGAAATATTTGGACGAGACCAATAGCAGACAAGTACTGTAAGGGAAAGTTGAAAATTTTTTGAAGAGCGAGTTCATGAGGGTGTGAAACCATTAAAAGGTAAAAAGGATGGGGTCCATGGCCTGGGTATAACGACGAAAACTAATCTAACAGTCTAGTTCCCTCTGAAGATTCCCTCAGGGTAGCTTGGGCTTCCTGCATCTTTAACAGTTTAATTCAGTAAAGAAAATGATTAGAGGTCTCAGGGCTGAAATTATCTCAAACCATTCCCATAGTTTAATTGGGTAAGAATCCTGGCTTGCTGGCTTGGCTCATCGAGCATAGGATACGAGTGACTACACTTTTGGTAAGCAGAACTGGTGCCAGTGGGGAACTACCATAGTTGCAGAGGTCGCAACTGCAACTGGGCCCGGGAGTTCCGTCTGTCAGGATGTCCCATTGGGGATGATTGCAGCAGGCAGCTTACTTTACTTACAAGCCTGCTTTTACTCTGCATAGAGTCCAGCGCCGGACTCCACTCTTCTATGAATCCCTGGTAGTCCAGTGGTACTCCCTCGCTGCTCCAGAGCTCACTTATTGAGTCAGAGAACAGCTGAGGGAATTCCCAGCCTGCACTCAGCACTAAGCACTGGAAACACAAAGGAAAGTATATCATAGAGGATTACAGCTGGGGGTATAAAGTGTCATATACACCACCAGACCAACAGGGAAGCTTGGAAGAGTGAAATCATGATAGTGGACCAGCAGGGATATAGGCAGGCTCCTTTGTCGCCAAACACACCAAGGTCTAGCCATGGGTGTGAGCAGGACTGAGAGAGAGGGTAAGTGTATGTGTGTCAGTGTATTTATCTGTGCATGTGTTTGTGTGTCAGTGCATGTGTTTGTGTGTCAATGCATACACCTGTGTTTGTGTGTGTCAGTGCACGTATCTGTGCATGTGTGTCAGTGTTTGTGAATCTGTGCATGTTTGACATACATACACAGGTACATTGACACATACTGACAATCTGTGTGTGTAACTCTGAATAGATCTGTGTGCAAAGATGTCTGTGGGCATCTATATGTGGCGTGTATGGGTGTTTCCTGGTATGGCAATGTGCCAAGCCCTGCCCAAAACATTGTGCTGCCTGGGCCAAAGGATGAAATGCTGCCCCTTTCCCCCCTGAAGCCATGCGCACATCCATTATGTAATGCATGTTTAGTGAATGCAGTGTCTGTGTAGTGCAGGGGGAGCCCTACACAGAAGTTGTAGAACTATAACTCACATGACGCTGTGAATGCCTCTAGAATGCTTATATACAAAGCATCATGGAAACTGTAGTTGTAATAATCAAAAATATAAATAAGAGTGGAGCAGTGTAGTAAAACAACAGTTTAGGCGAGAACCAGAAGCAGATTCAATAGACTGTGAAGATAAAATAAAATAAAGGTGTTGTAGTTATACTATAATCAGTAGATAACACCAGATTGACACAACTCACAGCATGTATAGAAAAAAAAACATAAACACATATAATCATTGGATTTCCTTAGCCTAATATATATGGGTATTTGTATAGGAATCTATATGTATTAAGCAAATTATGCTTTAATTCTAAACATATCTATATTTTGACAGTCTGCACTATTAAATGTGTTTATGTTTTTTATGTTGTGAATGCAGTGTCTGTTTGCAGTGGATGTAGTGTCTGTGTTTCTTTAGCGGATACAGAGAGTATGTCTTTGTAGCGGATGCAGTGTGTGTATTGTGTATGCAGAGAATGTGGGTAGTGAATGCAGTTGCAGTGTTTGTGTAGTGTACGTGTAGAGGGCTTTGAGGAGTTATCTGTTTAAAAAAAAATGTATAATGAAGTTTATTCTCCACTCATTGCCTCATACCTGAGGCCAGGGAGGCTGTGTCCTATGAAGGGGGTGCCCTTAAGTTTAATCTTCCCCTCCTGCAGCTTCATGTCCAATACAAACCATTGTATGGAAATCTATTCATAAACAGGACAGTACATAGGACACGAGGGAACACATTTAGACTGGAAGAAAAGAGATTTAGTCTAAGGCAAAGGAAATGTTTTTTCACAGTAAGAAGAATAAGGATGTGGAATTCTCTGCCTGAAGAGCTGGTTTTATCAGAGTCCATAGAGTCCATACAAATGTTTAAACAGCAATTAGATAAAAAAACACACTATTCAGGGGTATCATTGTTAAATAGTTTCTTGATCCAATGAGATATCGGACTGCCATTATGGGGTCAAGAAGCAATTTTGCCCAGTTCCTTCATCTACCTTATGTTGTTCTGAATGGGATTACATAACAGCCTTTTTGAGGAAATGTATTGGTGGTTTATTATTTCCTCCCTTTTACGGAGGAATTAGTGGGTTGGCCTTATTCCTGTCACTTTTTGCCATCACCCTTTCAGATACCATTCCCTTTCATTGTCCTTATTGATAGACTTACTTAGTTGTGGCTTATTATATATATATATATGTATATATATATATATATTCCATTCTATGTGTATTTTGATATCTATATATGACATATATAAATATCAAAATACACTTAGAATGAAGTAACATTTTTTTATTCACCTTCATGCTCCTGACATGTTATAGCATAATAGCAGCCCTGTTTGCTATAAAATCCAGGGGTAGTAAAAGTAATAAAAATTATAAAATCACAGAACCATTGTGTTTATTTAATTTAAAAAGTACAAGATTGAATCAAACAAATAATTTGAACAAATCAGCTTTGATTAATCAGTAGAATCACGTATCCAAATATACTTTCAGCAAAACATTTTTTAATGCCTTTCTAAAATATAGTAAAAATTAAAATGTAGTGTTTTTTTTTTTTAGTGATTTAATTCATTCGGAATTCTGTAGTTACAGGTTTTAACAAAAAAATCAGCCTTTCCATAAATCTTCTGCATGGGATATACACCTAGAAATGGCAAAATAGTTAAGGATGATGTAGTTTATTTACCATATGAGGTGCTGTAAAGAAATAACAAGGAAAAATTGGCTACTATAGCCTAAGATTTGTAAAGAAGTGAAGAACTTGCCCAGTATCTTGTTAGTTTTTCTTTCAAACCCCTGGCACATTTTCTATAATTCCTGTTTGGTGAAATATCACTTTACATTTTAAATTAAATTACAGTGCAGACACCATGCAATAGTTTGAATTGCCGGATGGTATACATATTATATTGCTATCATATTACTATGTCAAGAAGATGAACTCTGTTGAAAGAGGCTTGACGTTTTTAAACAGGGTTAGGACCAATGTCATGCTACTTGTCATGTGACTCTGTGTGATTTTTTGGAATAATACAAATTTGTAAAAAAAATAAAAAAATCACTTAATGTTCACTGTCAAGTCACTAAGATTCATTGCTTCCTAGATTTTTGGTGCAAATGTAAACAGTGTTTGGACTCCAGAGGCTGTATTCCATAACCAAAGATAGGTTTCTATTTGTTAACTAAATGTCCGTCTCCCATAGTTTTCATTGGGAACACTGCCAGTTTTTCAGGTTCTGTAATAAATGAGGATTGAGGTTCATGGTTACATTTCCTTGTTTCCTATTTATCCAAGCCTATCATTCACAGGAGTCCTAGAAAATAAAGTGCACAGTATTAGAGGACAGACTAACACCAGTAACTATTCAGTAGAAATTCAAGCAAAAATTATTTATTTGTATGGATTGTTATGCATCTCAACAATAAAGTATAGGTTTAGTGAACAAATGTGGCAGATAAGTTATAATTACTTCAGAAAGGTTGCAGTTGTATTTTTTGTAAAACTGCTAGTAGTCGGACACAGTGTATCCATGAAGTATTAATATGTAAAGTTGTGTATCATATCAGGATTGGCCATTAGATGACCTACAATGGCTGCCTAGGACCCAGAGGTGGGGCAGGGGCCCTCTTCTGTAAGCTCAGATTCATTCACCATCCCTATACGAAGAGTATAATCGTTGGGTATAATATTACCTCAAAAGGTTCGTAGAAGAAGTTGCCGTCTCCATACATTGGATTTGGGATTGACACCAGGGGAGGGTTAGCTTGTCTTGTCGTACCTGAGCCTCCATTATCAAAATCATCATCATCGTAATCATATTCAGACTAGAATGGGAAATAATATTCACGATAAGTTAAAGGAGCTATGTAATTCCAATATTCATCTAAATAGCTGTGGAACACTTTACACAGATACCCTATGACAATCACTTTGCAGCAATCAAAAACAGTCTTATCACGGAGAAGCAGTATTATTCTAATTTTACTGTTTTTTAAATTATATGTTAATGTATTAAGAAGTATATATGTGTTTTAGAAAAAAAAACAAACATTTTTGTTTGTATAGATGTAGACTTTGCCAATTAAAAAAACAGAATCCCACCATGGCTATTTAAGAATTACAAAATACTCCAAACTGGAAATTAATTAAGAAACAGTTTGGTTGGGGGAAAAATTGAACCTTTGCTCAGATAAAACATTAGGTCCTCCCATTTATTTAATTTAGGGTCCCCACCTGCCGCTCATAGGTGGGAATCTGGGGAGGGCATTAGGTCCCCCCATTATTTGTTTAGGGTCCCCACCCACCGCTCATGGGTGTGGACCAGGGGGGACATTAGGTTCCCCCTTTAATTAATTAGGGTCCCCACCCGCTGCTTATGTGCCAGGTCCCACCTTATTGCACTAGTGACTGGGCAGCAATGGTGACCCCCCCATAAGTTTTAATGCAGGGGTGAGGGGTGTGCGCTGTCGGCTCCCTCCCTTTTTTTTTTATTTTTTGGAGCATGCGCACTGTTATTTCTCCATGCTGTGGAGGTTAAGTGCCCTGCAGGATAGAGTCTATTAAACGAATGAAACGAAAAGGTAATGCATGTTGTTTATATTTCGTTTGTAGGGCTTTCGTTTACGTTTTAGTAAACAAATGCGAAAATACAGAATTTTATGACGAAATCGTATTCGTATGAAAACGAATGCACATGTCTACAAATCTTTCTCTGAAAATGATTACATCAGCACTATAAGAGTCAGCATATTGCAGATCTGGAGCAATAAAAGACCTGTAAGCATGTACATGAGCAACGTTTGCAAACCGAATCTATGACAAAGATCAATGTCCCCATTCTACTTCTTCATGACAGCAATGTTTATACAACTATCAAAGAAAATACCATATTTTACTTCTTTTCTAGAGATGTCTACAATGATTGCCATAATATAACTGCATATTTCACCAGTGCCATGTTGCAAACAGGATTAATACACAGAGCAGGATGGTTAACTGGTTTATAGTTTATCATCTACTAGCATGTATTTCCAGATAGGGGGACTAGATTAGGATCACTACATTACAATCACTGCTATTACAAAA